ATGCAGTAGCAATACAACTCCTAAGATAATGTAGTATAGCCACCACTTATATATTTTTGAAAAAGAAAATTAAGTACCAAATTTTGTAATTCTAATTTAAACTGTTTGAAAAAGGTTTTATTAGGAATTAAAAACAATTATCAATTTTAAAGCTTTAAAAATAATCTGGTACCTACTTATATCATTAAGAAAACAAAAAAAAAATTAAAATATTCCCCCCATTACATAATTTGACTTCAGCCCTTAACTCCCAAGTCAAATTATGATAGCAAAATTAATTAAATAATTATATAATTGTCAAAATCTTTTAAGTTAAAAAATAAATAATCTAGCCATCCAAATTTTGACCGAAAAAAAATAATAATATGGTACAGAGACAATTGGGCTGAGGTAAAAGTCTCGATACATATCAATACTAAGCAATTTTGTAGGACGGGTTCCAGCTTTGATTTGATTATTTGTACTGAAACTGAGACAGCTGTATTCTCAGCTCGAAATTTGGATCAATTTGGTCTCAGTCGCACTTACATTAGAGATCTTTACGCTAATCAAATTAGCTACAAATATTTCTTTTTTTTTCTTTTTAATTATAATAATAAATAATATACTCTTATGTACAATTTATCGAACAGTAGCGAGGGGAGTGTATTTTATCATTAATTAATATATATATAAGTATATGTACACATTTTGCCAATGTGGCAAGAATGTAGTACTGTTCCAGACAGGTTTGATCCAAGAAATTTATATACCAAATCAAGATACAGTACTAACTTGTAAGGCGACTTGCATAATGATAATAAAATTTGTTGTGAAATGAATGTTAAATTAAAAAAAAAAAAACAAAAAAAATCAAGAAGAATTGTTTTAGTAAAGAATTTAACTTAAAAATTTAAAGTAAACGGCAAATAATAGTGTTTTGAAACCAAATTTTTCTTTGAGAGTAATTGAAAAATAAAATTTATATACCTTGGGTTCTTCGAGTCTTAAAGTTAAGTATTTAGATATTGAGTTTGTTATAGATACAATTATTTACAATAGTTGGGAAGAAGCATTTTTCATTTACTAAGATCCATTTCTTCATTAATATCCACATCTTCTGGTCTTGCAACATATAATCTTGGATCAATTACCTGAAAATATATATATATCTTAATTTAGCAGAATTTGTACACGAGAGGTTTAGTAAAATTGTATTTTTTCCTGCATCATTATTATTACTGTATAGGTATTTACTTGGATAACTCAAACAACAATATCTCATCACTTGTAATGAAAGAAGTATAAAATATATCAAGTCAGCTAGTCATGATGCTAGGGGGGGGGATTACAAACTGTAGTCAGGGTCGTGTTAGGTAGCAACTGTCCATGTTCACTGAAGATACCACAAATATATAAGGCGAAATTCTTTAGTTGGATATCAATTTAAGTACTTTACATGTAATTGCCCTAAGGTGCCAATGATAAGCATAATGTTGTCTAGGGAAGACTATAAAAAATGTAGATGCTTAAAGTTATTTGCTAGTGAAGATATTTACGTACAAAGACATTACATAGATAGATATTTTAGGAGCATCTTTTCGTACACCCTTTAGAGTTTTGTAAGTTATTGTTTAATTTTTAACTCAATAAATAAGCTCTCAAATTACAGAGTATAAATACCATCTATAAGAAACTATAGTATGTGATTAAAGATCATTAAATGTAAAGGAATAGCATCTCAGATTAAAATCATTATTTTACTTTTAGAAATAAACAAATAAATGTATTCAAACTTAAGGGTTAACAATGCCACTGATGCTATTACAAAATGTCTGGGACGCAATATTAATTTTCCACCGATACATGAAGTATTATGTGTAGTTATAAACACATATTTAGATGTAATTTCTTAAATGCTATAAATTACAAATACATAATGTTAGAAAAATTACTCACTTTAGGTATGGGTTTAATTTCTGTGCCTAATTCTTGTTCAATACGATGTAAAGCAAATCGATCATCATATGTGATAAGATTAATAGCTATACCAAGATGTCCAAATCGGCCCGATCTACCAATACGATGTAAATACGTCTCAGCCATTTTAGGAAAATCAAAGTTTATCACAACATTAACAGCTTGTACATCAATACCTCTTGTAAATAAATCTAAGAAAAAAAAAAATAAACAAAAATACTAGCATAAGTAAATTACTATAGTACTTTATTGTTTTCATTAATAGCATAATTTATTTAAATGCAACTTAACATACATTTAATTCATCCCTTTTTTTTTAATGTACTCAATATTCTTTAAAAATTACAAAATGGGTTTTGTTTTCATATTTTTCTCAGTATCATAAATTAAGTTATACTTATAAATTATAGTTTCCAACTTACTTAATCTTTTTAAATTTATTTTTAGAAACCAAAATCTGTTTTTTTTTTTTTTTATTCATAGTACATTTTCATTGATGTATTTAAATAGTTTATTAATGAAATTAATTTCTAATGCTTTCATCTAGTCATATTATTAATGATTAGAGGACCATAAATAAAGAACAAATAAATATGTACGTATTAGAGTCTTGCATGGCCTTACATAATATATTTTGTGAAATCCAAACCATCCCCTAAATTTAAAGTTGTAAAATGAAGCTCATACAGCTTGGTAAATTTGCTGAGCACTAATGATCTCTGTAGCTACAAGATAGTAATGGTATATAACCTAATTGTATATTAACTGAACAAAAAATTGTATAATTCTCATCGATAGCCTGTATCCAGAGTTGGTACTACCTATAGTATTATTAATTGTACGCCCAGATAATTTAATTGTTAAGTGTAAAATAATCATAACTGACCAACCACTCAAAGTAGTATAAATTGTGATATGTATTATAAAGTTTAATTGCTTTAATAATAGTTCACTTCAGGGTTCTACAACATATTGTATGTAACTAATAGTAACAGTTTAGGGTTCAAAATACGAAAAAAAAAAAAGAGCTGATATTGGGGATGGGAGCAGCCACTGTTGTAGGTGAAAAGTTGAGAAAGTAGGATACAAAAGATTATTTCATTTATATCTGTAAGTAACGATAAATCATTGCTTGACAAGACGATTCCGAGAGCAGTTTGATAACACATAATTTGAAGTAACGTAATTTTTTTTAAGATTTTTGTTAAAATTTGATTTCAAAACACACTTATTAAAAAAAAAAGTTATCTGATGATTTTGGAAGTTTTACCACATCTAGAGAAGTCCAATATAAGTATTATTCCTAAGTCTCTCATTAATTTATAACAGACTTACAGCAAAAAACTCCAAAAAATTTAAATTCCTTAAGGGCTCAAAAGTGTTGGTGATGATACCATTGGAAAGTAAATAAAAAGACAACTAAAAAGTGTCTTGTAATTTTTTGATTAAATCATTTTTTCTAGTAGAAAACATTGTTAGTGTTTTTATTTTAAAAATGGTGTTTAAAATCAAAAAATGACCTCTTTAAAGAGTACCATCTAAATAACTTAAACTTTCAGAAAAATTGCTACACACACAAATTTGAGCAAGAGTAAGGCCAATAGCTCCCTCGCTACACTCAAAATCTATAAATGTAAGAATTAATAATTATTATAATAAAAAGTAATTATCATATTTCACATTGTTTGAAAAAAAATAAATAAATAATAAACTCATATATGATTTTAAGAGTTCTTAATTTATTTTATAAAATCAATTGATTGTATAATAAAATATTTAACAGGTATTATGTTTAGATATCTAAACATAATTTTGATTAATATTAAATAGGTTTCGTAACTTAGATTTAATTTAATGAAAATAATAAATTAAAATTAACTTACCAGAACAAACAAGATTTCGACATGAGCCCTTTCTAAAATCATGGAACACACGATTACGATGCGCTTGGGCCATTTTAGCGTGAATATAGTAACAACAATAGCCGAGATCAGTAATTTTTTTAGCAAGTAACTCTACACGTTGTGTTGAATTGCAGAAAATTATACTTTGATTAATTTGTAACTAAGAAAAATATTAATAAATATTATCAAAAAAAAAAAAAAATTTACCCATTCAGGCACATATTTAAATTTAAAAATTGATACCTTTGAGAACAAAGTGTTCAAACAATGGACCTTTTGTTTTTCTTGTACAAATGCATAATACTGAGTAACTCCTTTTAAGGTTAACTCTTCCATTAAATTAATTTCATATGGACTACGTAAATGTTTATCCTATACAAAAAAAAAAAAAAGTAATAAAATTGATGACTTTACATTTATTTGTTGTACTCACCATAAACTGTTTAACAGTCAGAGGGAATGTGGCAGAATAGAGGAGGATTTGCCTCTCTGATGGTAACTTTGATATGATATGATCTAACATACCTTTAAAATCTTGTGACAAAAGCTTATCTGCCTAAAAACCAAGTTAAAATGTATAAAACTAATACAGTTTAGTAATCAATTTTAACACTCTTGAACTTTATGTTTCTTAACCTTCAGACAGGGGCGTAAAATCACACAGTGCGCAACACAACATTTATACTGCTAATTCTATCCAAATTTAGTTCATAAATAACTGCTTGCCAGAACGAATTCGACCTATGCTGATCATATATCATCAAAAATAGTTATTAGAGATTACCTAGAATTGCCAATAAGCTGCATATTACCAACTACTAATAATTTTATTTTAAGGGAAGTGTAAATACTGTACAAATACTAGTCTGAAGGTTAATAAAAAAAAAAAAAATTGTTTTAACAAAAAAAGTAAGTTTACCTCATCTAAAACAAGGATCCGGCAATGATCAACTTTAGCTATACTTTTGTCCAAGAGATCCAATATCCTTCCTGGAGTAGCAATAATTACATGTACTAAAAATAAATTGAAACCATATAATAAAAATACCCTGAATATTTAATAATATATTTAAGACATGGTTAAATTATCATTCAGTGATAATAATTTTAAAATAAAACATTACATAATGATTTAATACCATACAAAATTAATAATTTAAAAGTTTACATTATTCACTGATCAATTCTACAAAATAAGTAAAGATTGTTTTAGTTTTTTTTCAATTAACTTATAATTTTTGTTCTACTTATAAAAGTTGAAAGTGATGAAAGAAACTTTATAATAGTTATAATCAAATTTATAGTTTATCATTTTTGGCCATTAAATTTTTTTTTGTAAAAATACCTTTATTTCTATTAAATGGAAATTATTTATATTTTTACATTCATTCAAGTTTATATAATAATACACCCCTACCCAATGATAACTCCTTCATTCCCCATTATTTAAGGCTATCTACATTATTGATCACAGGCACTTATTTCACATTATCTTCCTCTAATCTAGTCTCCAGCAAAATAGATTCTTTGTCCACTTTGTCTTCCACGCTCTAGTCCACCATTCCAATTTCACTGTCTTCTTTTAATTACTCTCTTAATTCTCTTATTCCTCACCTTAAATGTGGACCCTTCATTTAACCTCAAACTATTTACTAGTTTTCATTAGTTGTATATCTTATTTGTATTTTTGGACGTGTCTTATATTATTAAATAAAATAAAATAAATAGGTTTATTCCAACATGGACTCAAGAGTTAGTTAGAACGTGCTTCGATTAATACAAATTTTAAAACAATTTTAACATAAATTAAATATGAGAACAGTGTTTCTTTATTCTTAGTCCCCATCCAAATCTGTGAAATGTTTTGACTATCAGGTCTTAAACTGATCTAATTATGTGCTGGAAGAAATATCCAACAGTTTGTTCGAGACTATGTTTTTCTTGTATGTTAAAATGGCAAAAATCTATTGAGCATGTTAGAACAAACCTATTGTATTCCACTCAAAATTGTATTTTTGATTAAATTTCTATTTCGAAGTTTAGTTTCAGACTTTTTACTGTGTTATTTACTTATAACTTGCGATTATACTAGTTAAAATTTAAAGACATAGTCAAAAATATTATGTTAAGTTTAAAGAAGAACATTAGTCATACACAACATGTAAACCCGATGTAGACAATTCAAGGAGATTATTACTACCCAAAAAACTTTATTTAAAGAAAAATACCACGATTAACTGTTGCTCTCAATATCAATTTCTCACTCATAAAATGTAAGTGAAGGGGAATCCAAATAATATCATCATAGAGCAAAATATATTCATAAAATAAACAGATTAAATCAAGTTAAAACTAATTTCAGACATTTTAATGGTATACCTACAAATAATTCTACCAATTTATTATTATATATTAAATAAAAACTTTCAGAGCATAAAATTCAACCATAAATTTAAGTTGAAGGGGAATCCAAAGAATATCATCATAAAGCAGAATATACTAATTTTATAACTAGGTATTAATTTAAATAAAATCAAAAAACTAACAAAACACAAATTCGTACATTTTTTTTTTTTTTTGTTATAAATTACTCAAAAAAAACATTTTTAACAGAAATATTATGAAAAATATTTTACAACTAGAATAGGGAATTATAACTCTCAGAACAAATAAATACACTCATACATTTGAAGTGAAGGGGAATCCAAAAATTGTCATCATAGAGGAGCATAACCAAAAATTAGAATTAATTATTTAAATTACCAGAAGATATGTGTTTTCGTATATAAACAAATAGAGGTAAAATTGGTTAAATAAAACAAAATTAAATTAAATATTTATATTTAATACAATATTATATGAATCTTACCTCTTTGGTAAATACGAAGGATATCATCTTTAAGATTTGTTCCACCAGTTGTCACCATGACCCTAATGTCCAAATGTTTTGCAAGTTCAATACATATTTGACTAGTTTGCAATGCTAACTCTCTTGTCGGCACAATCACAAGTGCTGAAAAATAATTTCTATTAGACAACATTTAAGAAATTGAAATTTAAGTACCTATAATAGTTACTTACCTTGTATAACATCTAATTTTGGGTCAACTTGTTCGAGTACGGGAATTGAGTAAGCTCCAGTTTTACCTGTGCCATTTTTCGCTCTAGCCAATATGTCTTTCCCAGAAAGTGCTATTGGAATACTTGCTTCTTGAATAGGACTTGGTTTTTCCCAGCCTTTTTCAAATATACCCATTAACAATTCTCTTTTTAAACAGAATTCTTCAAAATCATTTCCTTTAGTAGAGGTAACATCCTATAATCAAATATTTATAACGTAAATATTTTGATCAAATTATGTCTACAACCAATATTTTACATACACTGGTTTTAATACGTTTATCCTGAGGAGGAAGTTTAAGTTTGGCTTTCCAACCAGCATCGTCTATTCCTTCAAAACTACTAGATGTAAAAAAAATAAATAAATTTTATGCACAATTGGGTATTATATCAGTATTATCTTACATTCTGTTCATTTGTTTAATAGGCATACCGAGACTAAGCCCAGTACTACTGTGATTTGTAGCAATCATCTAAACTTCCTTGGGGTTCAAAAGAACCACTTTTGTACACAGAATTGTTTTAAATGTTTAAAACTATCACTTTTAACACTAAAACGTGTCTATTTAAACTTTATTATATACAACAAATAAAAAAATAACAAACATTTAATAAAAATACTATAAAGTATTTGTAACTTTTTTTATCTTAATAGAAACGAAAGTTAAATTATAGAAAACTTATTTCACTTATGAAAATAATGTCTTTTTTTAACTTGTTATCACTAGCAAAGGAAAGCTACTAGAAGCAGATTCCAATGTAACAGCAACTTGATTACCTGTAAAAAAAAAACAAAACTTTTATACTAAAAATATAAACTGCAAAACTGGGTATTAACGATTGATAAAAATAAATGAACAGTTTTAATTTCAACTAAAATGTTAACCCAAGACTTATCAAAATAATATATTATGAGTAAATCTATTTTTATCTAATCTAAAGTTTAACTGGTTTTACCAATACTTATGAATATTTTTAAATACTAACTTTAATATTACATACGTAAATCAATACACAAATTCAAATACAATTTTTTTTATAAAATATAAATTGTTATGAATAAGAGTATTATAACATACTATTTAAATAAATAATATAAATTATAATACTATTAGTCATGTCATGATCAATTAAATGTAAGAATAGAAAACGACTATAGGTAGTTTAAAAATGAAATTTTAATGTTTTAAATAAAATTGTTAACATTATCAAAAACATAATAATTTTGAATATCAAGAAAAGGTCAGTCTATGAACAAAAATAAACTCATTCCGATTAACAAAAAAAAAAAAAAAATATGGTTTATTACTCAATATATTTAAAATAACCTATTCCTTTTTATTTTAAATTATCAATAATGAAAAAGAATAAAATTATAATTTTACAAGTCTACTTATTACCAGAATAACTTAAAATATTTTAACCTACAAGTAAACTCTAGCCCAAAACTTTAGTACTTTAAATATATTTTACCCACTCAATAGAACATGATTCATGTTTGTTGGATTGATGAAATCCAATTAATTCTCTAAAAATATATACACAAAAAATATGAGAAAAAAGCAATGATAGTTTCAGGGAAGTATTTTCAATAAATTCAGTACCTATATTAACCTAAGAAAGTGCACAACTATAGAATCCTAATTTGTATAAAAAATTGTCTAATTATCTAATAGTTTATTACCTAGTTATGTTACATAAGTAGAAATATACAATTTAAAAATATATTATCTACAGGCTAGTTTAAAAAGAAAATCAAAATTTTAAAATTTAATGTTTTAAAACATCAATAAAAAATGTACCTACCTACTTTAAGTTTGTATAGCAAGCAGAGAAAAATTGTGATTCTGAATACACCTAATAAGTGCTAATATTATATTAAAATTAAGTAACTGACATGAAAGAAAATTCAGAGGATTGGAATGGGAGGGGTAAAAGACTAATTGAACATTTTAGATAAGAAACAAAAATTTTCAAAAAGCCTGTAGATACATGGTAGCAGTTATACAAAGTGTAACAATTTGGAACGCTAAAATTGTAATTGATGAGATGAGATAAGATATAAGGTAAAATTCTGCTGGCCCGTTTTGTGACCAGGAAATAGTACGCCATGTTTGGCACGAATTCGAAAATAAAAATCAACACGGGTAACAAAGGCCACGCCACGAAGGTGTTCCGCGTCACAGGCCCAGTTGGCCGACGTTACAGCGAATTTCACCACTCGCCAGTTTTATCAATCAACAATAACAAAAACAATAATATTACGTTGCCGTCACCGTCAACAAGATGGCGGCGACGGTCAAGTGCTCGGCAGACGACAATGAGGTTTCTCAGTGGACTGCTGGCGCCTCTTTTACTGTAGTCACATGCACGAGTTCAAAACATACATATTATACAAATGTACGATCACCTACCAAATCCAACGGCGGAACGTCCACGGGTAATGCTTCGTGTTCAGTTCGTCTGCTGGACAGGACGTCGTCTTTCGCGGTTAGATTCTCGTTTTTTGTGAAAACGGGCAATAAATAACATCAACTAACACAATCAACGAATAAATGACGTCGCGTGAACGTTCGTAACAACAAAAACGTTTGTTCCCCGACTTCTAAACCCCTGCAACACACCGCACCATCGGCACTGCACCCCCACCACGTGCCATACGGTAATGTTAACGAGATTCAGTGGTACGCATGCGTGAGTTGGAAGATCCCACAGGCGCCCACAGTGCAACCAACACATTTTCCACATTATTATTCCCATGTGAACACTATGGCATACGTTCTTGGCGCGGAACAATAGATTAAATTTATTTTGTGATTTGACATTGATCACAGACGCATACAATATTTATTGTATACCAAGCTCTGAAAAATTCTTTATAGATCTTGATTGTATACATCTGTAACATTGGCATAAAATATACTACACAGCAGGCACGTAGTCAGAAATTTCCAACGGGGGGGGAGGTGTTGTAAAAAGTAACAAAACCTATTAATTGAAAAAAGATGAATATAGTTCGCATGATGGATGGGATTCTGTTATAAACGATGGGAAATTAAGAAAGTAGGATGTATGGAGAGGAATTGAATGTATATCTGTACGCAACGATTAATCATTGCTAACGAAAAACCATTCTGAGCGGAGTTCCGAGTTTGGTTATACATGTTTTGAAAGACCGTAATATTTATGATTTTCGTCATAATTTGATACAAAAATCTTATAAAAACCAACATTATTAAGTAATTTACATAGTGATATAGTTTCGTTTATGTATGGGGTAGATACCTATTGTCATTTTGTGTAATAATTATCTTGCACAATTTTATTCATGTAATAAATAAACACTGTCAAGTGAAGGGGGGGTTGTTGCTCCACCATCAACCCCCCCTCACTATGCCACTGCTACACAGTATATGGTCCTATGGATAATACATATTATTATTATTTACTAGCTGTCCCTCGCCCAGCGTTGCTCATGCTATTTTTTTGTTTTTTATACTTTCATTTCCGTATTAGTATATTTAACTAAAAAAATAGGTGTAAAGTGGGTAGTTCGCGGACTAAAAATGTTCTAGTATAGGTACCGTACATTTTTTCATTCGTTTTACCATAGATACCCGCACACCACATGGAATAGGCTTTATATCCATTATAATAACACTAAAATTATGAGGACATAATAGTACTGTAGTGTTGTTACTGACCAAAAAATACAAAGATTCAGAGATGATATTTTACGTGTTTTCACTTACCCACCCTGTTCAGTGCATAGAGTTTTATTGTTTTTTTCATCCATGTAACCAAGGTAGCCCATCCTATTTCAAGCCAATAATAGACCGACAGAGTATCAGATATAGACTTTATTTTAAGTTGTTATAGTTGTTATGGCATTTGTAGTTCCGTTTATTTTTTTTTTCAATTCTTCCGTGTTACTATAGAAATACATAATTTAATTTTCGTACCACAAAAAAAATCCCTATCATCCTCTATTTCGTCTCCTTCAAATTTTATTTTCACGACAAAAAGTAGCCTATGTTTTTCTCGGAAGTCACATCTATCTCTTAACCAAAATTCATTAAAATCTGTTCAGTAGTTTTTGGGTGAAAGAATAACAAACATTCACATTTAAACGAACGCTGCTATTAAAAATACTCAAACCGAATCTAAAATAATCTGAAATCTCCTGGCGACAAAATCTGAAAAATGATGCTTTTGACAGAACATTTTTTTTTTTTCAATAAAAAAGAAACCGTTTTGTTTCCATGATTTTTTGTTTACAATCTATGCTTAAAAAAAATTTAAAATGTTTTTTTTAGTTTTCAGAGTTATTCATCTAATTTTTCTTTTTATAAAAACCTTCCTTATAATTAAACGAATATTTTAAAAAGAAAACCAACCAAATCGGTACAGCCATTCTCAAGTTTTGCACTTGCCAACATTTTGAGCGATTCATTTTTATTTATATAGATAGATTCGTATGAATTAAAAAAACACGATTATACTGATTATGGTCTATGTACTACAGATTCCAAGGGAGCGTTAGGATTTTTTTTCTTAGGAGGGGGAGGGGGTATGGGGGACTAAAAAAATTGTGAATCAGACAGAAAATAGTCAAATAAAAAAAAGACTAGAAAACTATTATGATTTGTATTAATAATATTAATATAAAATTTCTATTAAATTTATTTTTGGTGGAACTAAAGCTCCGTAGGCCCTTTACTGCGCTCCTATAAATAGTATAATGTATAATCGTGAATGTATTCAATTTACCTACGAGTACTCATCAATACGTTACATATTAGGGTTAGCCGGTATAGCCACTCAACCATAGCATTGTAGTAAATAATTTAATCATAACAAGTTTTTCTTTTTTTCTTTCTATTCTAATATTATAATGTCTATTTATAGTCTTATAGGTACCAATAACGGTATAACCATCAATTTTTTGTTAGTTCACTAAGTTCATTAAGTGGCACCCGTCAAAAAAGTTTTCACGAATACATAAATTCACAAACGGCTCCGATATTAGACAAAAAAGGGGAGGGAGACAGTAGTGACATTTTAATAGAAGGTCGCTAATAATTTTAAGCTAAATGATAAAATTGTATAGATGTCACTTATATTTCTCGTAAAACCATTATGTACCGCCAGCGATCGTATAGTGCAAGATGCGACGCATAATATAAAATATTTCGCAATTATCGACGCAAATATTTCACTTTTTGAATCAATTAAAATTGTGAAATGGCTTGGAGTAATGATTTTTTTATTTCGCTATTATATGGATTATTATCAAACTAATTTTATCAGTAATTTTAACAAATTTGTACAAACGGAGCCGTTTGGAAATTGATCTAATTGTAAATTAAGAGCCGAATGGACTATAGACTCGTACTACTTTTAAAAACGGTAGTTAAGATTATAAATATACATTAGTATACATCTAGTTAGGATATTATTGCACCTAGTGGCATATTTTGAAATTTTTTCTTGGAGGGGGGTTCAAATTTGTATAAAATGTAGTAGATAAGTTTATAGTATTATAATAACTACCTACGATTTATAAATTAATAATTATATATTATTAATATCCCAAAAATAATATATTTTGTGTCTGGCTACAGTTATAATTTATTCATATATAGGGAAAAAAATTAAGAGACGTGTTAATGTGCTATGTGTTTTTATTTATAATGTAAAAATGTAATAATTTCTTTTTTGACAATACATTTATGATATTTTCGGGTATTATTAAATAATAATTATTTATTGATAACATCGAAAAACCATTCAATCTTGCATATAAACAAAAATTTCAATAATATATTTCATTTATTATTTACACCAAAAATATATTTAAAGTTTATAATTTACCTCTAATATGGAATTTCTTAAATATGTTTTTATTACCTATTTTAGATTCGGATGGTAGCGAGGGATCTGTTGGTTTTATAAAATGTGGTATTTTTGTCTATAAGTAAATAACTTGTCAAAAAAAAAATTTTGCTCCAATGTATCAAGTGTAACACATATTCTGAAAGGAAATTGTATCCAGTGGGTGCATTAAAAAAGATATTGTTTACTTTTCTAAGAAGATTTCAAAATAATTTGGAGAAACCGAAAGAAAATTATAGGTATAACGACATATATTTACAGCGTGACTGATATCATTTTTTTTAATTTTTGCAAACTATGTTTTCTACCAAAAATATTGCTCCAATAGAAATATTATAAGAAAACATGCTTATGCAGACCACACAGAACTCGCTTAATTTTGGTTTTAGAGTTAAAATACCTATCATAAAACCAAAAAAGAACAATATTTCGGAGGGACGTTGTGTCTTTTCTGTTTTTTCTGAACACAACAGACGACAATTTACCGTTTATAAATAATGACTTTTTCAACTTTTTTAAAAAAAAAAAAACTTTTTCAAAAAAAACGCATCGTCTTTACACTCTGGAATTTTGTTCTCTATTAATTTGATAATAGGCTCTTTTATTCTAAAACCAAAACTAAGCGCGTTCAATTTAGTCTGATTAAGCATGTTTTACTAAGTTTTGTGTTGCATGTATAACGTTCTCTTAAAATGTTTTTCGGCTTTATTCAATAATAACCAAAAATAAATAACAAAAATAGTATAATATTGCAATATTATTCGAATTAATTGTATTGTGCTTGAAATTACGATAATTGTATTATTTATAATCTCAATATGGATATTTCCAAGATAATATTATGAAAATTGTGGGGCAAACTATATTATATTGTGTATTATAATTGTCTTATCAATTATTGGTTATTTTAATCTGTAAATAATTGTTTCCGACAAAATCTTTTCGTCGTTTCCACAGGGGACGCGTATAAAGTACGAACATATTTTGTTAGAATGATATTTTATCAGAAAAATAAAACTTGAAAAATAAATAATCCAAAAAATATTTACGTCGAACCGCATTTCAGAAGAAAAATATTTCATCCGAACAGTATTTGTACAGAAAAATATTTTGGTCGAGAATATATTATCAGAGTAATATTCAGTACGAACATATTTTGTTAACATATATAGCTTAGTTTATATGGTCGAAGGTTAGAACCATATTTTGGTAGAAAATATAGATATCTATACCATTATAGTGTAACAGATATCTGTGAATAATATCTGTAAAGGTGATAACACTGTTATCTCATATCATCTGTTAACCGCTGAACACTTGTTTTCTGCAAGGAGTAAACCATACACTTAGATATATTATCAGGTCCATCAGCCCTCATTAGCCACTTTATCTACCCACAACTTTACTGTGGCCATAGATATAAATTTATCTATAGCCATGCAATGGCTTGCCTATTTAACAGCGTGCTCTCTTCGTATTTAATAAAACTAAATTTCTAACTAAATACGTTTCTGATTAATTATTTTTCAACAAATTTATTTTCTTATACAATATTTTCAAAAAAAAAACTTTTCCAGTAAAATATTTTTCTAGCATTATATTTTCGTATAAATTATTTTTTGACTAAAATACTTTTCTAGTTAAATATTTTTCTGCTCGAACAATTTTCGTAAATATACTTTTTGCTGAATTATTTTCCAATAAAATACTTTCGAACAAAATA